TGTGTGTATATATATATATATATATATATATATATATTTGTTTTTTGTTTTTCTAATGCAGAGGCCTGTTTTTGTGCACATCACTTCAAAGCTAAAACTGGATTATTTTTTTTCTCTCTTTGGGGTGTGCTTTCCAGTTTTACCAGATTGTTCTGTGACCATTAAACCTGTTTTAATTTAATCCCTAAAGACTCACATTATCCAGTCTGAACTGTTTGCTCATTTAGTCTCTCCCTAAAATCATTTGGACTTTTTGTTAAGAGTTGAGACTTATTTAATTAGTACGAGAGCTGAGAATAGCTTTTGACAAAATAATCAATATTGCCAATAGCAAACAAGGTTTCTTTGGTTGTTTGTTTGTCGATATCTGCTTTGTTTGCCTCTGTTTTATTGGTGGTATTGATGATGAAATGAGATTCTTGGGTTTGTTTATTCAGAGTAACGATGCAGCTATGTGCCACTAGATGGAACAATTTCCATGTTTTTTTTTTTTTTCTTTTTTGGAAAGCTGACAAACATTTAATGCGGAGAGACATTCTGGCGTATTTCACCTGTCAATTTTAAACTATTGCTTACAGAAATTACTCCATAATTATAACTCAAAATATTTTAAAAAGGTGTAGAATGATTAGATATAATTGTATTCATCCTGAATTGAAGAAATTATAGATGTTCTTCAAATGTTTTTTTTGTTTTTGTTTTTTCCAACTTTATTTATTGAACATTTTTTAAACCAATAACATACAGAGTACAAAGTATAAAGATGACACAATTAGTGGCACAACTGTATGCAAACAAAAATCTGGAAAGTCAGCAGGAAAAAAAATAAAAATAAAAAAATAACAAATATATATATATATATATATATATATATACACACAAACACACATCAGAACGCTATAAACAACCAGATAAATAAATAAATAAATAAAACACCCTCTCTCCTACTCAACCCCCAGTTCTTGAGAATTATAATTAAGAGATTCTGTGTGTCGTAGAAAAGGGTCCCAGGTGGAATTGAATGATTTCACAGAACCTTTAAGTGAAAATCTGAGTTTCTCAAACTTCAGATTATAGACTACCTCCCGGATCCAGTGGATATGTGAAGGAGGATGGGCGAGTTTCCAATTAAGCAAAATCAATTTCCGGGCCAGAAGAGTTGTGAATGAAACGACTACTTTTAACACTTTGGGCAAGTGAGTAGTGGGAAGGACACCAAAAATGGCCGACAGAGGATTAGGAGCAATGGTGCAGCCATAGGCCAAATCCAAATGTTTTTGTTTTTTATTGAAGAAAACTCTTCTTGTTCTGGTCTCTTAGGAGCTAACGTGTTTTATCCTTCTCTGATCTGTTTCTAAAACCAGCCATCGATGAGTACAAGCCTCAGGATGCGACCACAAACCCGTCTCTCATCCTGGCTGCTGCCAAGATGCCCGCCTACCAGCACCTGGTGGACCAGGCCATCAAATACGGCATCGCCAAAGGAGGGTGAGGGTTTTATTTATTTATTTATTTATTTATTTATTTAATCAGGACAGTGCTCATTGATAAACAATCTTACACTTCAGTACAGATTGTAAATGAGCCAAAATACACAGGACTAATAATCAAAGGTTCTCCACTTTAAGGCTTATCTTCATGTCTTCTGCTAAAGGTCTGGTATTTTTTTTTTTTACAGAGTTTTGATTGAATTTGACTTGTTACAAAGTAGGGTTGTCAAAATTATCGATACTCAAAAAAGTATCGATACTAAAACGTTGTATCTGGATACGATACTCCTCCTTCTCTTTATTTATTTATCTACGTTGTTTATGATCATTAGCATGACGTTAGCCTTGAATTGCTAGCGGCGGCTAATGGCTAATAATAACACGCCAACATTAATCAAGACTGCAGGAAGCCAAGGATGGATATCCAACTCCGCCCACATCCAAGTCGGCCATTTTTATTAGGTCACCAACAGGAAGATCCCAGGCAAGAAAATTGTAATTGCTTCACGGCAATATAGACATTAATTTAAAAATAGTGAAATTAATCTTTCAAACACTGAATTAAACTCTATACTTAATATCATATTAAAATAGTGTATGTTAAATAGGTTTGTACAATAAGTCCAAACAAGTTTAACCAAAAAATATTTATTTCCCACAATTATGAAGGGGTTAGGCTTAGGTTTAGGGTTAGGATTAAGGTTAGGGTCAGGGTTAGAGTTAGGGTCAGGGTTAGAGTTAGGGTCAGGGTTAGGGTTAGGGTCAGGGTTAGGGTCATTAATGTGGGCCACCATAACATCAGTAACAGGTCAGTTTGAAACCAAAGACACTAACCTGTCAAAATTCATAAATTTTGGGGTCTTTGTTTTTATTCTTGTGGTATCGAAAATGGTATTGAATATTTTCCTGATTATCGGTATCGAGTTACAAATTTTAGTATCGTGACAACCCTATTACAAATTCACATAACTGGCCTAATTAGTCAATTTCTCCTTGGAGATCAATAAAGTATATATTAAATTCTAATTGGCTGTAAATTGATGAGCTCTTAATGAGCAGAACTAGCCCTCAAACCACTTTTCTCTCTTTTTGTTTCCCTTTGTGTTCAGAAACGAGGAGGAGCAGGTCGCCAACACGATGGACAAGCTGTTTGTGAGTTTCGGACTGGAAATTCTCAAAAAGGTCCCGGGAAGAGTCTCCACAGAGGTGGACGCCAGGTAAAATAATAAAATAATCTAAACTAACTCCCAAAGGCCAAAAGCACAGACCGTTACTCAACACAAGACTTTGGGACACAAATAACTGGGGTGGTGTTTATTATTTATTTCCACATAACCATGACATGGAAATACTTGAATTTTTCAGAGGATTAAATCTGATTATTTTATATTAACAGGGTAGAAAATGTTTCTATCCAAAGGGATTTATGTCATGAGACTGGACATTGAAGATAGAAATGACAATAAATGTACTTAATCAGTTGGTAAAATCTTTAAAAACCTGAAATGTGAACTTTTTCTTGACAAAATAAGATGCAGACACTTTTGATCAGAACTTTGGGGAAATGGACTTAACCCTGTAATGCCAAATGTATCATATTTGATACGTACGGTTTCTGAAATGTTTTGCGTCTGACACCTTTTGCATAATTTAATGGTAAAAACTTTGCTCAAAATCCTATTGTACACAATCAGATACACCTGATAACAGGGGGCAGAAGACTACACAAAAAATAATCTGGACTTATCGCATTGTAATAAATTATTAACATTAAAAATGGATTTCTGTTTTTTCTTTTTACATATTTTGTTAAAAGGCCAAATAATGATTTCAAACCCCCAAAAAGTAATTTTCTGTTTTGTTTTATTCTTGGATCAGGCTTTAAAGGGCTAACTTGGAGTGTCACCTCATAAAAAAAAAAAAAATGACAGCCTGATCAGAGTCAAGATCTGATTAATATCTGTAAACCACAGAATCTCCAATTATTTAACGATATGAACATGAACCCTGGTTAAACTTTTGTCTGTTTCCAGGCTGTCTTTTGATAAAGAGGAAATGGTGGAACGAGCCCTGAAGCTGATCGCTCTGTACGAGGAGGCCGGTATCAGTAAAGAGCGCGTGCTCATCAAACTGTCCTCGACCTGGGAGGGGATCCAGGCCGGGAGGTGAGCTTTTATTATTATTATTATTATTATTATTATGTTTCCTGTGTTTGTCACTGTTTATCTCAGTTATTATGCAAGGCTGTTTTACTGCTGTGAGTCTGTGGGACTCCGGTTTCATTCCAGTCGTTTTATTGTGAAAGACGTCTGTTCCCTCTGATTGGTTTGAATATTTTGTGGCTGCTTCTTTTTTTATTTTTTTTATTTTTTATTTTTAAATATGGTTTCTAACTCAAACCAATCTTTGGTTCCACCTGAGAGTCCTCTTTTTCTTTTCTTTCTTTTTTTTATTTTTTTTTAAAATCCCAGATAAAGACAAAAAAAATTATCTAAGGCAAGTTTATTTTACAGCACATTTTGTGTACGAGACAATTCAAAGTGCTTCACAGAGAATTTTGCAGAAATGTTCTTTCCATTTTTATTCATTTATGTTTTTTTACTTTGTATGTTTTATTATGTTTCAACTTTGTTTTAATGACGATTGTAAAGTGTCCTTGAGTGGCATGAAAGGCGCTTTTTAAAGATAAAATGTATTACGGTATTATGAAAAACCCTTCTTTCTGTAAACCTGTGGGAAAGGTTAGACTGTTGATGAATGTCAAATGTAGATTTTAATTTATCTTAATGAGTTTATGATCACATTTGGTAAGTATTTATCTTGTTCAGTGTTGCTGCACAGCATGAACTCATTCAGTCATGTAAGATGTAAACTTTGTTTTAAAAAAAAATCCTATACCAGTTTAGCTGTTGCTGGATGGCTTTTCAGGGACAATATCTTTCAATCATTTACCAAATTTGTCTCTGAGATAAATGGCTTTCTGAACAGTTGTCACTATGAAACATCCAAATATTTGCGCCTCTCTCCACTTCTAAAAAACGCCCACAAATCACCTATGTAGCCCCGGGTTAAGGCGGGGTGGGGGGGGAATTGTAAGTATGCAAATTCCATCATGTGGGCACATAACAGACATACATTTCTTATTATCAGAGCCACAAAGCTGCCGTATCACTCGTCACTCACAGGAAAGCAGCATGTTCTGTTTCTATAGATAATAGATGGGTTTTACAGTTTGATTGTGAAGTATGCGGAAAAACAAAAAAGACAGACTGATCTCATTTGGCCTTTAGTGAACCGAGCATCAGCCAATCGTCTTATTTTCAAGGTGTCATCAAGGTTCTGTTCTTTAAGGAGTCATATTATACCCTATTTCAACAAGTTAAGCTAGTTCCCTGGTGTCCTAATGTAATGTCTGTGACAAGCTTTGGTCAGAATCCCATAAGGATGAAGCCCAATAGCAGTTCAGTCCCCCTGCCTAACCCTAACCCTAACCCTAACCCTAACCCAAAACAGCCCCGTTCAGAGCGCTCGCTTTGGAGTGCCTGTCTCTTTAAATGCAAATGAGACACAGCCAATCCACCCACTTCTTCAGGGAGGTGTGCCCACGTCGGCACGCTAACGCTACCATGCTAACGCTACCATGCTAACGCTACCATGCTAACGCTACCATGCTAACGCTCATGCTAACGCTACAATGCTTACGCTAACGCTACCATGCTAACGCTCACGCTACCAGGACGTCTCCACAGATAGGGGAGTAAGCTGAGGGGGGGGG